GAAAGGTAGGTTCACGAGCAGCCCCTCGGTCGTACATTCGAGGAGCATGACGCCAAGCGAGACCCTCTCATCATGTAGGCGAATGACGTGTTGAGGTCCATCCACAATTCAAAAACGACGATATCTATGAGTGACGCCGATCAGGGCCTTGGAAGTCGACTGACTGTTGTTGAATGTTGCCATTGAGAGCGTCCAGCAACGGAGCGGTAATCGCCGTGTTTTGCGCGAAGAATTTCGAGCTTTTCCGCAGCTCGGCGACAGCATAGCCCAAGCGTTCCGTGCACAACACGAGCTTCAACAGCGCTTTAGTGGTGACCCCAGACAAGCCTGCCGCGGCCAGGTCGCCCCAACTTCCTTTGTGGTACTCGCAGATGAGCATACCGCCGACCAGGTTCTTCCGTATCTTCGACGAAGATTCTTCGTACACCCTCAGCGTGCGACAGGCTGTTGATGGGTCTTCATAGGTCGTAGGCAGCACGCCGGTCTGCAAAGTTGTATCTGTGTTTCGTCGATTGTTGTTGGGTGGGTCTCACGGGGGCGGATTGCAGCACTAGTGTGAGTGAGATGGGGTCCAAAGAAGACGGCGGCGGCCTTCAGACTGAAAGACTTGTGCGTCTCTCGGCGAGTTTGGAAATGATCATTCGTTTGCCGCGCTCCGTCGGATGGTATTATTTCGCTCCAGCCATGATCAGGCGCATGTTGAAGCTACGATTCCGCCAATCACCATTCCCGAGGGTGTGGTTCCGCCAATCACAGCATACGCAACTTCAAATACACGTATCTTATTGGTGGAATCGTCGGTGTGGATCCTGGGGGGAAAACCGCAACTTCTATCTTTTTCACTACTTCAACTTCGCGCCAACTTTGAATTCTCAAAGTTGCACTTGATTTTGGATGCTAAGTTTTATTGATAAATCGTGGCTTCGACAATGAGTGAATCCTGTCCTCACAGAACACATACTGCCGCGCTCTATATGCTTCTGTTGCATTACGAACTATCGGTACTCCGTTGATATAAACTTGAACACTGGCCACTATGTTATTTTCTGTTGCTGTAGTCTTGTTAGATAACAACAAAGCGTCCCTACGGCGACCACACCAGTCCTAAAATTTCAGGATGAGCCAGAATCCGGCATAGACCAAAACAATGTTTGTTAAATATTAGTGCAAATTTAAAAAATACTTTCACAAAATCACAATGTTTCAGCTACGATTTTCTGTACAAAACCGTTCTGCGATCGGTGGAAAGTGCACACAACTATACAAATGAACGTGAGCTGGACATCAAAACCGGTACCACGGCATATTTACGCTGATAAAAAAATAATGATGACAGACTAAGATAACATCGTGTACAAGTTCCTTTTTAGCATCTTCTCTACGTTCTTGACTTGAAACTGCACTCACTACAACAACAGAAGCTCAGTCATCTTCCATTGGTAGTTCATAAACACTTCGGCCAGCTCAAGCGGGGCGGTAAACGGTGAATTCGACTTGATCTCTGCATTCCCTCAATTGACTTGGAATCCGTTTCCTTGTGCCGCCACCACCAGATAGGCTAGAGTCGCCACAACCAGATAGGCCTGTGTCGCCACCACCAGATAGGCTAGAGTCGCCACCACC